ATGTAAACAAAACAAAATAAAAATAGATGGACATTATCAGATAGTCAAGAATGCTCTTGATTGGGAACACCTGAATGTGATTTATATAAGAAAGGACTCAAATGGCTTCCTAAGTGTTTTCCTTTATAAAATGAAAGAATATTAACACAGCCTTGCTCTAAAGAAAATGAACCAGCTAAAAAACAAATTTAAATTGAGACAAGTGAATTAATACCACACAATGTTGTTGGTACACAAGTAAATCCGTCCACCCCTCGGACTCTAAGACATGACAGATAGAGCCAGTGTTCCTGCAGCAACAGGCCAGTCCTGGCAATGGGACCGGCACCAGACTGGAACATTTCTCCAGGTGCAGTATCTGACCTCTAGTATCTAACTTCCCCGATAAGTTGCGCCTGGTTTGATGAATGTTCTGTTACTGTGCCTTTGGTGTTAAGAATATTAGGCCCTAACCCACCACACAAAACAACTGAATGTGGTATTATTGTCCCAGCTATTACGTCCTTTGTAAGTACCCCAAGTGTATGTGGAGGTGATGCCACACGATTTACACACGTGGTGTGTGAGCCCCCTAGTGGCTGTATGATCTAATTCTTTTCAAGAAACAGAACCAATGAAGTCAAAATATTTCAGACTATCTCCATTAATATTTGAACTTTAACTGAGAAAATGCATAAAATTTGTCACATTTACATGATCTTGCAATACTGAAAAGTAGTACTTAACGCTAATTACATCCGCTCCCGATGTTCAATACACACACAGATATTAAGACATTCTGGGGTCACATCACAATATCCCATGGATAAGACTCATGAATCTTAAGCAAGACTAATAAAACACTGGGGGTTATATTATGTGAATGAAAGGCTAAATGCATTTTAAATATATGTATAAGATGAATTAATACTATTGCTAAAAAACAAATACATATAAATTACTTCATTGATTTAGTTTTCTGTGCCATCTTCTTTAAAAACCAAAATAGAGATTCAAATACATTTTAATACAATGATAACATGGAGAATTTCTCCATAACAAATTATTTGATTTGATAATTTCCAAAGAAAACTTATTTCATAACCATATTATTTCACTTATATGTGGAATCAAAAACAAAACAAACTCATAGAAACAGAACAAACTAACAGTTGCCAGTTATAAAAAGAGTAATAAGTATGTAAAGTACAGCAGAGGAAATAGTAAAATTGTAAATGCGAGGTATGGTGTCAGATGAGAACTGGACTTATCGGTGATCACAATGTAAGTTATATAAACATCGAACGGCTCTGTTGTACACCTGAAACTACTATAATATTGTGCATCAACTGAATGTACAAAATAAAAAACATTAAAGAAGTAGAATTCTGATAGCCAATTCAATAGAACCAGGAATTTAAGAATGTGAAATATTTGCCTTTGAGTAATTGGCTCCACCAAAGAAAAAAGTAGTTACGGATATAAGCTAGAGGAGAAATATACAGGTAGACGCAAGTTTTACTTTGTTTCACTTCTTTGATGTGTTGGTCCATGTGTGCTCATTACATCATTGTTTTACAATTTTAAAATGTGTATGTACTTTATTGCAACTTGGATCTAGACCTATACATGTAATGTAAATTGATTTGTAAAAATATCGTATTGATTTTAGAGAGGAAGATAGAGATAGAACATCAATAATGAGAGACAATCATTGACTAGCTGCCCCCTGCACTCCCCCTACTGGGGATCAAGTCCACAGCCCAGGCACATGCTCTTGACTGGAATGGAACCCAGGACCCTTTAGTCCGCAGGCTGACGCTCTATCCACTAAGCCAAACCAGCTAAAGCATAAATAATTGATTATTTTAAAGATTTATAAGGAATGACAAAAACTAAAAGTTACACAAATTTTTAAAAATAATAAAGTTGAAGGATCCACACTGCCTTATTTTAATGCTCATTATAAAGGTATTATAACCAAGACAGTGCTGTGCTAATGAGAAGAGAGAGATGTAGATCAATTTAAGATAATAGAGAGTCCAGAAATACTTATAAATATGTCAATTGATATTTGACAAAGGTGGAAAGACAATTAATTGTATTTTCAACAAATGGTGTTGATAATTGGATATCTATATTCAAAAGCCCTCTCAGACTTCAAAATCAATCACAGGTCTAAATGTAAAACAAAATATAGGAAAAAAAATCTCTGTAACTTTGAGTTAATCAAAAAGTTCTTAAAATATGATACTAAATACATAACCCATAAAGAAGATATAATAACTTTGACTTTATTAAAATTTAAATTTTCTTCTTTGAAAGACACTTAAAAGAAAATATAAGACTCAGATTAAGAGAAAATATTTGCAAATGTCATATCCAACAAAAGACTTGTATCATGAATTATAAAACCCTCTCAAAATCAAGCAATCTGATTTTTAAAATGAACAAAAGACATGAACACACACTTCACCAAGGCGGATATAAAGATGGCAAACAAACACAAGAAATATGCTTAACACCATTAGTTAACAAAGAAATGCAAATTAAAACCACAAGGAGATACCACTGAAGATGGGGCGGGGGAAAACTTGGCAATACTAAGTGCTGACAAGGAAGCAAAGCAATAGGCACTTTAGTCTTTGCTGCTGGGAATACAAAATGGTACAGCTACTCTATAAAAGTGTTTCAATTTACTTTAAAGTTAAACATACACATACCATATAACCCTACAATCCTACTCAAAGATGTGTACCCTAGAGAAATAAAAATGTACGTTCAAAAACCTGTACACAAATGTGCATATCAGGTGTATTCATAATCTCCAAAACTGTTAACCCATTTTCTTCCAATGGATGAGTGGACAAACTGTGGGACAACTAACTATACAATGTCCATATGATGGAATAGTTCTCAGCAATTAAAGAGGAACAAATTATTGATAACATGCAACAACACAGATGGATAGCAAAGACATTATGTTGAGTGAAGGATACCAATCCCAAAAAGTTACATACTGTATGATTATATTTCTGTGACATTTGTGTGACATTTTAGAAATGGGAAAACTATAGCAACAGAGTTTACCAGGGGTAAGGTGGGAGGGAACTGTTCTATATTGTGATTATGGTGATGGTAACATGAATCTGTACATACTAGTATGTTAAAACTGTATACCAAAAAAGGGCAATTTTATTGCACATTATTAAAAATGTATTTAATGCAAATGGATATGACATCTATTTAAAGAAAAATATTTTCCAATTGGATTGCAAACAAAACCAAACTACATACTATATGATAGACACTTAAAGCAAAGAGATTCACAAAGGCCATAAAAACAACCTAATAATGGGAAATTTTAATCTATCACTTTTAGTAACAAAACAGATCAAGTAGGCAAAAAGAATAAGAAAGGAGATCTAAATAATATAATTAAAAGGTTAGATCTACACTCTGATAATAAAGAATACAAGTTCAGAATACTTTACAGTGGGTTCTGAATACTCAGAATGAATGCTGGCCATGATCCGCCGGCATTCGCTGACTATGGTTCTCTTGCTCTTATGTGATCAATATTAATTACAAAACAGCAAAAAAGATACATTTTTTAAAGTTTTTGTGGCTCTGTAAAAAGTACCACTTTATTTCGCTTTTGATATATGTATTCTAATGTCACACCACACTCCTTAAACTTCATCTTCTATTGCAATGTGGCAAAGTTTATTTTCCCTAAAGAGTGCCATATGTGTCCCTTCTCTTTTGAGCATTCATGACCTGGGGTACCCTGTCATATGCAAACACAAAGGATGTGGTTTTGATGAATCCCAAACAGAATAACTTCTTTCTGTGACATCAAACATCTGGAGAGTATCCATGCAAATGCTGTGTAACTCAACACAGAACCTGGTTTATATATTTGACAGAACATCTCTAAGAATGTAGGGCAGTGTGTATTTTTTGTAACAGTAACCTCAGGCAGTTGAATAAAGACTGAATGAGGATAGCTCCTTTTGGCAGCTTATATCTTTGCCCAATAATGTCTAATTTTGAAACTGAGTTTTGTATTCCACAAATGGCTAGAGAACTATGTGAGGGAAGCATCTGACCTTGATGGGCAGAGAGTATTTTACTGTACTGGTTCTGCCTCTGACTTTCTCAACAACATTGGACAGGTTGTTAACATGGAGTGTTGTGTTTCTCCAACTATAAACTAGGATTACGTAGTTTACAACTATATAACTTTCTCAAGATATTGTAGGGGGGAAATGCAGTTACATGAAAGTTGGAAAAATAGCAGTAGAAATTAATGGGCATTGCTGTCTTATTTTAAAACCTGATTGTGCTAATACCTTTTATTCAGATTCCACGCTCATTGAGAAATATTGTTGATAATTAGTTTTCTGTTATTTCCTATAAGGGAAGTTCACTAATGAGATAAAAGGAGTTTTGATTCCACTTGACGTTACATGATTTACTTATATATCAGTCTCCTGTGAATTGCGTTGTCTCATTGACCAGACCTTACTCAATGCCACGTGTAATGCAAAAACCAGAGTCCCTGAACTTGGTGGCCTTCCCAAAGTAATGGCATCTGTGAGGTCTTGTAGAAGACTCCCCACATCTCTAGTGGCATTCTCAATTGACTTCTTTCTAATTACATCAAGTAAATGACCAAAGGGCATGCATTAGAAAGAGATGAGATGTTGGATAAAGTTGACCAGCCTTGACATGTGTTGCTCATTGGAGAATGAATACTCTCCATTTAAGGGGGTCACAATGGAAGTGTTATTTTTAAAAATCCATATGTGAGGGAAAAGGTTGTTTAGAATTCTAGACGTTTTATATTACCCTCCTTGACTTTAGAACAGGTGTCCAAAGGACACAGTATCAGACTTCAGAAAGGGGAGTTCAAAGGGGAAGGACAGTCCTGGGAAAAGAACTGAATGGAAGATGTAGATCAGGGAGTCTCCAGCTGGGTGGAAGACCAGTATGACTGAAGTAGGGAAGGAGAAAAATGAACATGAGTATGGCTAACTAGCCTCAAAGATTAAATGAGATTCCTCTGCAAAGTTAGCTACCTTTAAAAAGATAGCCAGTTAAATAACCAGAGATGATAAAAATTGTAAGATACAATAACCATTTAAAGTCTCTGGAAATTGTCCTAAGGTTATAATATAGAGAAATATTTATGCCAAAAAAAAATCTATGAACTCTAGGTAAGAACAGTGAGGCTCTGTGATATTTGAACAATGAGCTGTCCTCTCCTCCCCCTACCTCAACAAGGTGAGAGTTATACCCTTGATGGGTGCAGCGAAGAACACAGGATTTTGTTTCCCCCAGATTCCTATTAGAAGTGCATTTTCACCATGAGAAAGCAAGCCATCAGCACTTCCCATATCATCCAGCTCTGTGCTACAGAAGATACAGTATGGGCAAGAGTGGCTGAGAGTCTGAGCTCCCTTCTGTCACTCAGTCCGTACTCACAGTACAGAAAAGCTAGCCCAGGCAGGGCAGGCCAAAAGCACAAGGCCTGAGTCATCCCCACTCAAGTAACTGTTAGGGAATTAACTGTTAGGGAAGTGGTTCCATGCTGAGGACAGGCTAAGAATATAGGAGTTACTGTGACCTAGTAGCCTGCTTATAGAGTGGGGATGTTAACTCTGAGAAATGGGCCAGATCTCTAGATACACAGAATTGGTCCAAGACTTCTTCCTTGGGAGAGAATCAAGTTGTAAGAACAAAAAGCCCCACTGATTTTTTCTAAGTGGACTGAGCTTATTTGGGACAGAGCATGGGGGATTTCAAGCCTAAGATGCTATTGTAAACACAATTTTAGTGGTGCACATTTAGGAGGATGGTGGTAGCTTAGTAGAGCAATAAGCAAAGTGTTAGATCAATTAAATTTTAACAGAGAGAAACAGGGAATGGGACAGCTAAGATAGGCTCATCTTGAGGTCTGACCTGACCTTAAAGATTGACCTATAAGACTACTCTGGCCAAAGAGCTTGAATTGGATCAACCCATGGAGTAGGGTTAGCATAGATCAATCATCTAGCAGTTAGTGGAGGCTAAGAGCTGAGTGTGATATCCATAGAGGCAGACAAACTACAAACTTAAAGAGGAGTCAGGAAAAGGGACAAAGAGCCCAGCTTAAAAAACACACACAAAAACTGCCATTCCAGGAGAATCGTGATGACTGTGTACATGTTCAGAGCTGCACCCTCTGAGAAGCAATAACAAAGACTGCACAGGAAATAGATGTCACTGAGAGAGTCCAGCCAAAGGACCAAACAAATAAGCAAGCAAACAAAATTAAGTCCTAGAGGAGAGGGAGACTTAATATATTTTAGCAACTATGGATACTACCTAAAATGCCCAGTTTTCAACAAACAAACTGAAAAGGATGACTCACATACAGGGCAAAAAGGCAACAGAAACAAACTTTGAGAGGCTTCAGATGTCAGACAGATAAAGACTTCAAAGCAGCTAATATAAATATGTTCAAAGAACTATAGAAAACCATGTTTAAAAAAAGTAAAGGAGGGTATGGTAGTGTCTCATCAAATAGAAAATATCAGTGAAGAGATACAAATTATAAAAAGAGCTGGAGGACAGTTCTGGAGTTAAAAAGTACAATAACCAAAATAAAAATTTCACAGGACTGGCTCCAACAATAGATTGGAGTTGGCAGAAGAAAGAATCAGTATACATGAAAAAATATCAATAATGACGATACAATATCAAGAACTGAGAGAAAAAAACAAATCAAGAAAAATAAACGGGCTCAGAGAAAAGGGGATACCATTAAGTGCACCAACATATGCATAATAGGAGTGCCAGCAGGAGAGGAGAAACGGGAGGAAAGAATATATTTCAAGAAATAATGGCCAACAACTTTCCAAATTTGATGAAATGCATTAGTCTACACATCCAAGAAGCTCAATAGACTCCAAGTTGGGTAGACACAAAGAGATCCACATCCAAATATGTCACAGTGAAAAGAGAAAATCTGAAAGCATCAAGAGAAAACTGACCACATACATGGAACCCAAAAAAGATAGTTGCCATCTAATGTTTATCTAGAAGCCAAAGGACAGTGAATGACATATTTAAAATGCTGAGAAATAAAACTATAAATGACAAATTTTATAACGAAAAATCAATCTTTCAAGAATAAAGGCATTTAAACAAAAGTGAGGTTTGTTACTAGTAGACCTGTCTTACAAGACATAGTAAAGAAAATTTTTTAGGTTGTAATCAAGTGACACCAGGCATTTATATAAATCAATACAAAACAACCAAAGAGTACTGGGAAAGGTAATTATAAAAGACACTATAATTGCATATTTCTTTTTTTTTTGCTTAACTGACTTAAAAGCAATTATAAACCAATACATACATAATTATATTATTGGCCTGTAATATATTTGATCAGAATGGCACAAATGAAGCAGGTGGAAACAAAGTTGTCTTAGAGTAATAAAATGACACCAGCTGATATCAAATCTATAGGAAGAAATGAAGGGAATCAGAAGTGTTAAATAAAAGGTTCATTAAAAAAACTATGGATATGTAATTTTTTCATTTCTTACATTCTCTAAAAACATGAGTAATATTATAAAAATGTATTCGATTTGTTACATATGTAGAATGTATATGTTTAACAAACAACACACAAAATGAAGAAGAAATAGAGCATATAGAGGACTAATGTTTTTATATTTCACTGAAATTATATAGTATAAATCTGAAGTAGATTCTGCTAAGAGGCATATTGTTAGCCCTTGAGCAACTGTTAAGAAATAAATTTAAAATAATGAAAATTATTAAGGAAATAAAAATGTTACACTAGAGAACACTGACTGAATAAAAAAGAAACGCTCAAGAAGGACCAGAGGAGCAAAGAAAACAGACGTTAAAATGGCAAGTATAAATTCAGACATATCAACAACTACACTGAACAATGCAATCGAAAGGCAGAGATCCAAGAAAGTGCTCTCTATAGGAGACAAAGATATAAATAGATTCCACCCAAAGATAGATATAAATAGGTTAAAACTAAATGGGATGAAAACATATATATCATGTATTATAATCAAACTGAGTGGCCATTCTAATATCAGATATGTAATATTTTAAAACAAAGTTACTGCAGTTAAAGAGGAACATTTTGTGACAAAGGGAAAATATATCAGGAAATTATGACAGTTATAAACATATAATCATGTACAACAAAACCCCAAAGTAAATTAATTAAATACAAAATAAGCAAAACAATAAGACTGAAGTGAGAAACAAATAATTCAACAATAATGGTTGCAACGTTTCAGTGTATAGGACTACTAGGCAGAAGATCAATAAGGAAATGGAAGAGTTAAACAGACTGTAACTAGGCCTGACAGACTTCACCCAACAACAGAACATACATTCTTTCCAAGCACATACTGAACATTTTCCAGGATAGCCATATGCTATGTCATAAAACAAGTCTCAATAGATTAAAAGGATTAAATATTAGAAAGTGTGTTCCAACCACAGTGGAATGAAAGTAAAAATCAATAACGGAAGGAAATTTTGGAAATTCATGAATAACCAATGGGTCAAAGAATATATAAGTGATAATAGAAAATATGAATGAAAATAAACACACAGCATATCAAAACTTCAAGGATGCAGTGAAAGAACTGAAATTGTGTGGTTGTAAATGCCTATATTAAAAGAACTGTCAAGAGCCTTTATGACAGACTAAATGCTTTCCTCCTAAAATTATAAACAAGACAGGATGTCCACTCTCACTACTTCTATTCAACACTGTATTGGAGTTTTAGTTAGAGCAATGAGGTAAGACAAAGAAATAAAAGGTATCCAGATTGCGAAGAAAAGAGTAAAACTATCTTAATTTCTTAATAACATTACCGTGTATATAGAAAATCCTAAGGAATCCAATAAAAAAAACTATACAATTAAACAATGAGTTCAGCAAGGTTGTAGTATTCCAGATTGATTTATAAAAATATAGGCAAAAATTAGTGATTTGTGCCTCAGATTTAGGGGGAGGAGTCTCTTTATGGGAACCCTCCCAGTCAAAAGCCTTCTTTATCTTGAGCTGGAATCTGCTGCCCTACTAACGTCTCCTGAAGTGATACACACTGACCTGTTTCATGGATCGCTTTAATTATTTAAAGACAGTTATAACGTTCTACTCCTTTCCTGGTCACCCTTTTCATTTTCCTTATCCGACATGATTTAAACCCTCTTTTGCCCCCCTGGTTTCCACCTCCTACTCTTAGATAGAGTAAAAATTTATTTTTCCCAACAGAAATTTAAAAATAAATATAATATTTCATTGTCAAGCACAAATAACATTTTGGTCTCAATATTTTTTTGGTACCTTATGATTATATTAGGTTGTTTAGAAATCATTCCATGTTCTACATGAGTTATAACGAACTTATGGTGCTTGAATAAACACCTGTCTTTCATAGGACATTGCCAAGTTCAATTTGCATTTCTGGACCCAAGACATATGTATTTATTGCAACTTTATTTGGGTCAGTCCATAGAGCTAGTGTCCTTTTATCTCCTTTAAGTTTTCTTCTCTAACATAGAAAATGCCCTTTCTTTCTAACATAAGCATACCTTCTGTGTCAGTGATGAGAACTGTGAATAGCCAAATCTAAAAATAGAGAGCTATGACAAACCATTAGCTACTTTTCTTCAATATGATATCTTCAATTATAATTACTACCGCTTATGCATGATTTTTTAAAATTAGTTAGAAATCTACCTAACAATGCTATATTCGTATAAGCTTTACATCTCTCCATCTATATATATATAAAAGCCTAAGCAACCTTTCAACTGTCCAATGGGTAGCTATGACACTCCGACCAGTAGCTATGATGCACACTGACCACCAGGTGGCAGACACTCAATGCAGGAGCTGCTGAGCTGTGGTGACTTGGCAGCTGTGGTTCTCAGATGACACATGCAGAACCAGAGAGGAGGGAGCCTGATTCTGAGGTGCGTCACCCAAGAACCGCCCTCTCGCAATCTGGGACCCCTTGGGGATGTGGGAGAGCTGGTTTCGGCCTGATCCCCACAGGCCAGGCGAAGGGACTCCATTGGTGCACAAATCCATGCACTGGGCCTCTAGTCTTATCATAAAAATGTTCACATTTTTAAAAATGAGTATGTTGTTTTCTAGAAAGCATACTCTATTCTGGAAATCACAGATAACATGGAAGGGTGTGTATAGAGAACTCCAGAAATGAAGGCCTAAAAAAGAGTAAAGACATGGAAATGTACTATTCCACAGACGATAGAAAGTTATTCTGGTAAGTTATAGACCCAGGTCACTATAAGTGATGTTAGCAGCGGTGTAGAAAGTCACATGCTTGTGATCCATTCCTTATACTATATGGCCATTCATTTCCATGGACGTAGTGGAAAGATTAAAAATAATAAAGCATCATGGAAGAAGAAATAGGATCTGAACAACTTAAAACTCTTGTTTTATACCTTTCAAACAAATCCAACATTGGTAAAAATCCTCTAAGGCTTGCTATAACCTTTAAAATGAAGTTCATATAGGAAGCCTGAATTTTTTATTATGTTTCTTGTAATATTATGATCCAGAAAATGAATTAAGGGAAACAGTATCACTTTTTTTTTTCACAGTTAGGGAGAAATAAACAAATCTGAAATACCTGTGGGCATCTGGCAGCACTGTAGCAATCTCCAGCCGTGGCAAATGGAACTGCTTTTCCAAATACTGTCTGAGCAAATAGAAGGTCTGTAGCTAGAACGCAATATATAAAACTCTTTAGCAATGAGACACTATATGTTTTCCAATCTTCATTGCAAAACATAGTATTTATATCATCTTCTTAAATACATTTTATAATTCAAAAATTTAAGCAAAAATGCTATCCAATTATAGATCAGGCTTTTCAATAAATAATATCTTCTTTTTTTTAGAGAGAGAGAGAAACATTGATTGGCTGCCCCCTGCACATACCCCAACCAGGGACTGAACCTGCAACCTGGGCATCTGCCATGTCCAGGAATTGAACCAGTGATCCTTTGGTGCATAGGATGATGCTCAACCAACTGAGCCATACCAGCCAGGGCAAATAATTTTTCTTTAATACAAAAATGTTTATCCCATAAATTTCCCTAAAAAATGGCAGGCACATCTGAAACTAAGCCAGAAGTATTTTTCTTTTTTTAAATATTTTTCTATTGATTTCAGAGAGGAAGGGAGAGAACAGAAACATCAATGATGAGAATCACAATTGGATGGCTCCTGCACTCCTCCTACTGGGGATCCTGACACCTGGGCATGTGCCCTGCCAGGGAATTGAACCCTGACCTGATTTATGGGTCAATGCTCAACCATTGTGCCACACTGGCTGGGCAGAACCAGAAGTTTTTTAAACTAAGTGCTTTATTATATTGTACATCATAGTGAATATCTAAGATAGATAAAGTAAGGTCAGGAGCAAAAATTACAGGTTTTGATTACCATATTTAAAGGTAAATACATTATTACAAAGCAACACATGCGTGTTTATAGACCAAATTATATAATAGATATACATATAAATATATACATATATACATACATATAAATATATACATATATATATATATATACACACACACATGCTAAAGGTCAGCTGGTCTAATCGCTTATTCATGCTTGAGTCATTTAGATAATATTCCAACAATGGTCATCCAGTCAGTGGCTCTCACCTCCACTAATGTATTTTGAATCACTTCACTTTTCAAGAGGACTGCAGGATTATTGCATGCTACCATGATGGCAACCCCTAAAGGTAGCATTTATGAAAATATGATCGTATCTCCAAGGACAGTTTCCAAAGCAATAAGGCCTCCCATGGTGTGCTGGAATCAGCTGTTAGCAAATCACGAGAACCTGTTGTGTGTGAGTTTCTGGGGACACAGTTCAATCCACAGCAGCAGGTTTGCTGAAGAGTCACTTGATAGAATTTGATGGATTGCTTGTATGTGTGAGAGAAAGGGAGGATGTAAAGATGTTACTAGGTTTTAGCTAGAATAACTAGAAAATTATAGTTGCTACTTATTGAAATGGTAAATATTTGGGATAGGAATGGTTCGAGAAAAATATTGAAAGTTCAGTTTGAGATTAACATTGAGTCTGAGATGCCTATTAAGACATGGATTTGCTGAATAGGCAGTGTAATATTGGCATTCAGGGTCCAGATTGGAGATAAATATTTGGGGCTGTCATCTAATAGGTAGTATTTGAAATCTATAAATTGAATCAGATCCTTAGGGAGTGACTGAGTCCTGAAATTCTTTCATACTCAGTATTGTGGCTGATGAAGAGTAATTAGCCAAGTTGAGAAATAGTGAGAAAGAGTGGCCAGCATAGAACAAAACAATGAGAGTGTAGTGTCATGACAGCTAAATGCTGCTGATGGATCAAGTTAGATGAAAACCAAGAATTTTTCACTGGATTTATGAAATGGATGAAGAATTGGTGATGTAAGAGAGAAAAGAAAGTTTGCTGAAATGATGTTCTTGCATAGATACAAAGTGATGAGCCTAGAACACAAGTAGAGAGGGTGGCCTTCCATAGAAGTGGGAGTGGTTCCTCCACAGTAACCAGGATAGAAGGCAAAGTCTGTAGGTGAACATTTGGTTAGGTTAGTAGATGTGGCAGTGGTAGCTAGTGGAAATTCCCTCGGGCTCTTATTTCCTCAGCGAGATAGGAAGCAAGATCATTGGCAATGAGTGACTAGAGAGGAGTATTAGAAGTTGTAGAAGTCTGAAGCTAGAAGAGAATATGTGAGTGAGACATTTAGGAGATGGGGGGAGGGGATGAACTAGGGAAGTGCAGTGGGATTACTCAGCAGCATGAAGGGTCCATGTGAGCTCAGTAGTCAGTGTTTAAAGTGAGATCATCCATGAGGACAGTGTATTATTTGCCACCCCGAAGATGTGTGGTGCAAGTTCAGAGTGGGTGAAAGGTGTAATTTAGTCAAGACTGGGTTTTTGTCACACAGGTTTGAAGAAGGGAAAGACAGACCAGGAAGCTAAAAATGTAGACATTGAACATTGTATCCTCAGAGCCCAGCCCAATGCCTGGCAAATGCATGTTTATTTGATAAATTAGTGAAAACCAGTATCTTACTAAACAGCAACTAACTTACTGAGTGCCCATTATGTGCTCAGTAATGCTAATTACCTGACACACATACTAGAACATCATTAAATAATAATGATTATTTATAGAGCATTTATTGTATGCAAGGCTATTTGCTCAGAATTTTACAAGAATTATCTCTTAATCCCACTATCTCCCCACCTCCCTCAAAAAAGGGGTAGGTGGCAGAAGGAGGGAGAAATAAGAAAGAAGAGAAAAAAGAAAGGGGGGAAAAAAACCTACGAGAGTTTTACTCACTTTAAGGGAATTTAGATTTAAAGAGATATGTCCAAGGTCACAAAACGGGTAAGTGGATGCAAAGAATTTCCACCCAGTGTAACTCCAGAGTTCATGAGCATAACCATAACAGTATAGCACTTTCCTACGGCAGTAATGGTGGGTTTTCAGTAAATGCTAGCCATTATTACTACTAATACTAGTCATTATCATCTGACTGTGGCTTAGAGATTATGTATTCATGCATTCCTATCACGAAAAACATTGTTTCTCGCTATGGCGTATGCACTGTGCTAGGAACTGGTGATTCAATGGTGATCTAGTTTTAACTTCTAAAACTACCTTATTTGTCTTTTCCTATAGGTATGGAACCTCCAGGATGGCAGGCTGCTCAGTGTCTATTAGGTTTCATTAATCTGTTTGGACTTGACCATACTATAAGTTGCTTCCTAAAAGGTAGCAGGTCCATAGTCTGGGATCTGTGAATAGGAATTAATTGCATCATTTGCAACAGTGTGATGCAATTCTGCCTTAACTAATTGTTAAAAAGATTAAATGAGAAACTCTATAGAAAAATGCTTTACAAATTGTAATCTGAAGTTACTTTAAGCCCTACAAAAAGTGTTATATAATTATGTTGAGATATTAACTTTTTCCCTAATGTAATGGGGAATTTGAAGGTAGAGGGTCATATCTTGGAAGGACACTGTATATCCTATCATTACCACTACATTTTTACTAAGGTCCCCACAGCCCATGTCATTGAAGAGAGAGTTTATGGCTAATAACTTTAAAAATCAATTTAAGTAACTATTGCCCAATGCTAGGGTGTCTACTATACCCTAGCTATTCTACATACCAGCATACTGTTGGACTTTCATTGGCAAAGGGAGGCTTTTCATTTTACAAATAGAGATCCAGTACTTACTTTTAATTTGCATAGAAGTGAGATCAATTCTTATTTTGCTGAAAACTGTGTGTCCAGCAGCCAGGTAGTCATTTGTACATTCACAGTCTAGCCTCCTACTTCCATTAAAAGGACATTCGTATGGATTTTGTAGTCTGTAACCACATTAGAATATTTTTATTATTAGATACAGCTATCGTCCCACAGTGTAGGTAAACTTTGGAAGCGGAAGGTAAAAGATACACTCTTCAATATGACAATGTCTACAAGTTAAATGAGAAAAGTAAAAATTACTCAAGGTTAACATATGAAATTATCAATGGGAAATTGAAGACCGGTGGAAAAATAACCCAGCTCTAGTTCTCTTAGCTTTTGTTACTGGAAGTAATATGATTTCTATGAAAATACACATAGCTCTTAAATTCTCCCCTTCTCTGTTCTCCCACTGCTCACCCACAGTATCCTTCTTAGCCTATCTCTCTGTGAGTACATGTTAATATTCAAGTCTTTGGGCTTAAACAGGCATGCACAACACCTAACTTAGACCCTAATATGTCTACCTGCTTTTGAATTACTTGTCCCACTTGCAAGCTATTCAAGTATCACTCCTACTGGAACTTCTGATAATCTTAAAGGACCATAAAAAATGCACTGATAAGCCAAAGACACATCTCATACCTAAAACCATACACTTCAGAAAAGTTGTCTTCTTCACCTTTGACCAATGATATATATTCCTTGGGGTCTTCCAAGTGCATATCTGCACAATAAACCTAAAGGGAAAATGCAAACACCTAGAAAAGCTTTTTCCAAAGTCAACGGTCAGTGTTAAAGTCGAGTAGGAACTGTGTTTACAATACCTTTATTATTCTTCCTTCAATGTTAAGGTAATAGTCACCATCCTTGGTAATGTTGTTTTCCCCTTGGATTTCTTTGCAGCTGGTAAATGTTTTGCCTTCAAGGATGAGTGAATACAACTTATCAACAATGAACAAATTAAAAACACAGCATGAATTTAACTCAATCATGCAAATATTATGCGAAAAAAATAGGTACTTCATTTTGTGTAGCATATGATTACAGCAAATACTTATTTTCAGAATTTTAATTGAAACTCTTAGGAACACTAGGTAGATTTTTAAAGTCCGTTACTTACAGTCATTGACATAACATTTCTTTTGAGCATCTGGCTTTAAACGCTTTAAACATAAGTCACTGGACCAACCGTTTTCAGCCATGCATTCCACTCTTCTCTCCATTACCCCCACTCCACAAGTCACTGAGCACTGTGAACAGAGTAAAATTTGAAGGTAAAGTGTATAATGGGCAATAAGGCCAGTCAATCCACATCGCCTCTCGGACTAGGTCCTTTTGGAACACAATCGTGGCTAGACTTACTGCAAATACAAAAATACCCTATAAATTGGACAGTCACAGATGGGAGGAATTTATTATTTCTCAGTTATTGGCTTCTTTTCATTTATGTCATATAGTTATATCAACATTATATTATAAATACATGACAAACATTATTAATGTTGGTTTTTAAGACTACTTAGTTTGTTTTCATTGTTATATATGCTGCTTGGGAAGCAATATTTACTTGCTTTCTATCCATTAAATTGGAAATGGATTATAGGGCAAGTAACTTTTATTACCCACATGTTAGATTTATTTACTTCACTTAAAATATTCATTGGTTAAGTATCTACTAAAAATGCAAGTCACTGTGCAAGGCTTTCTGAGGAATAGATATAAGTAGGTTATAGTAAGCATAGAAAAAGAGATAAGATATTTATACAAGTAACTGACAAAGTAAGTGGTTTTTGACAAGATGGGGTATGAAACAATTCTGGGATCGAGTTAGACATGCAGCTGCACAGGCATCCACACCTAGAAAGTCTCATTCAGATTTTAAATTCATAATTATATACTGACCTTGCTCCATTTTCCAACTTTCCAAGTGGCCATGTGCAAACAGCTCCTTAGATTGCATTTGTAAGTCTGTGGTGAAGGCAGCACAGGGCATTCTCGATAGTCTATAGGCCAAAGCTGATGGAGCTTATATCTATCAGTAGACCGAATCTCAATGCAATATGTAATCCTTTGTCGGTAACTAAATCCACAGTTACCAGCACACTGAAAAATAATTTCCAGGGGGAGAAGATATCCTTAAATTTAACCAGGCCTAATATTCACCAGGTGTGTGTGTGCGTGCGTGCGTGCACACATCTATCTGATAATAGGGTAATATGTAAATTGGTCAGGACACCGTCACAGTAACGACTGATCAGCAGGCTGCATGCGCAGCAGGTGGGCAGGGACTTGCAGCATTGGGGATGTGATGGTGGCTGCTGCTTGCCCGGGGCTGGCCCGGGGCTCTGGCAAGCCGCCAATGGCTGTTGCTGCTTCAAGGGCCCAAGGCTCAGGCAATAAGGGCTGGGTGAGGCTCAGGCAGCCTCATGGCTGGCAGTGGCAGCAGCAGAGGTGTGATGGGGATGTCACCTTCCCCTGATCACAGGGTCACCTCCTGCAGAGGGAGGCCAGAGGCAGGAGCAGCGAAGGGGTGATGGGGGCGATGCCTTCCCCTGATCGGCCAGTTGCCTCCCGCAGTGCGAGGCCAGACTGCGGCTTAGGCCTGTTCCCCGTCGGTAGGACATCCCCTGAAGGCTGCCGGACTGTGAGAAGGGGCAGGGCAGGCTGAGAGACCCCCATCCCGTGCACAAATTTCATGCACAGGGCCTCTAGTAAATATTTAAATATACATACACACACTATACAATGTTATACCCACAACAATCCTATTCATTAGCTTCATTTGCAGATGAGTTAAAAAGGGTTCAGAGACATTATATAACTTTCCCAAAGTTGTACCAATAAATAGAAAGGATCCATATCCAGGCTAGATTGTCTAGTTATGGTGCCTGTTTTGTTTTTTTCCCATTACACTACTAAGACTATCTTAATTGAATGAAAAATTTTCTCCCAATAGGTGCAGCTTTGGAGAAATAAAACATATGTGAGAGTTCTCACCTGAAATAAAAGACATTAATTAGAAAATAGCAGAGTACTGACCAGTGTGTACATAGATGTGAGTACACCACCTGAGGCCAAAGAATGAACTAATCAAAAGACATAGAAATTACTGTATCTGGTACTCACATGGGACCAAATATAGTCTGGTCCCTCCAGCCAGACTGGAAAATCTTACATACATGTATTCTCTAATAAGTAGAACACTCAGAAGGGTCTTGGCACAGTAGAGGGAAATAAATAAACAATACACTGGTCTGATATGACAAAGCTTAAGAGTGAGATAAGAAAGGCTCAAACTGCATCCAGACAGAATAAATATTCTAGAGCCAAGGTCAAAATATATGAATAGGAATAAAAATTACCCAGTAGCTAAAATAGTAAAATTTATAATGTCTGACATGCAATAAAAAGTTAACTGTCAGCCCGAGCTGGTTTGGCTCAGTGGATAGAGCATCAGCCTGTGAACTTAAGGGTCCTGGGTTCAATTCCGGTCAAAGTCACATGCCTGGGTTGCCTGTTTGATCCCCAGTAGGGAGCGTGCAGGAGGCAGCTGATCCATAATTCTCTCTCCTCATTGGTGTTTCTATCTCTCTCTCCCTCTCCCTTCTGCTCTAAAATCAATACAATAATTTTTAAAAAGTTAACCATCATGCAAAAAGCAATAAAATGTAGCCCATAATAAAGAGAAAAATTCATCTATCAAAACAGACCCAGAGGGATGAGTAAAAATGCAAAGGAAGGACCTCTGAAAATTATTTTCTCCATAAAGCCATGAAAAAACTGGCTTTGTCAGAATTAACTTTTCCACAACTCTGTAAATTCACCAAATGCAGCAAGCCAGGAAGCATTTATTCAATAAACAAGGTTAAATCTCAGAAGAGGGAGCTTTGTGATGTTTTAACTTGTCCTACCCCCATTCTTGCCTCCATCTCCACAGTAGCCTTGAAAATCAACAGCCCCGCAAGCATGGAGGAACCAGCAACCCTGCAGCCACAGGGGCAGAACAGGGTTGGGCATCTTTCAAAGACCCTGTTGCAGAGACTTGTTGTTATTTGAACTGTTTGGTGGGTTTTCTAGAAGACTCCACTGACAAGGCTGTCATTATTTAACTTAACTGGAGCTTACCCACTGCTTAAAGACTTTTCCCTCCAGGGGCACTTGTTGAACTGTTTAACTTTGAAGCTTCGAAAAGAGGTAGGTCACAGTTAGGGCAAGCAATAGCCTCACTAAAAAAAAAAAAAAATCTTAAAAGGAAGAGAGATGTTCATAGGGCTTTGAAAAGCTTCAATATATCTACAGACTCCAGAAGGCCATGGACACACACAGGGTTGCTCACATGTCCAGGATTATACACATGCTCAGGAAGCATCTGGAAAGGGCCTGCACACTCACCTCTGGCCCAACGTCAAGGCTTCGTACAAGCAGGACTAAGAGTTGTCAGCTGCCTGGCTGAGTGTTAAAGGTACCCAAGCATGTACACAGAAGCCCCAGGCAAAGGAGGTGATTGGTTCTGGGTAGCTAAGGGAATCACTGTCCAATCATTAATTGAAAACTTAAATCAAGCAGAGACTTCACTGACTGAATGTGACAGGAAATACAGACTTTACAGTGAATTCTGGAAAAGTTTCTAAACAAGCAAAAACACATAGCAATAACAATAAACCCTGGGGAGGAGGAAGAATCTGAATACACCTTTAACGAGTAAAGGGACTGAATTAATAATCCAAAAACTACACACAGGGAAAGCCCAGGGCCAGCGGCCTCACTGGTGAAGTCCACCAAATGTTTAAAGAACTAGCATCAACTTTTCCAAAATTCTTGCAAAAGAAAGAAGAGTAAGGAGCACTTCTTAATTCATCCTATGGAGCCAGTATTTCCCTCATACCAACACCAGGCAGTCATCACAAGAAAACAGCAGACCGAAATCTTTTATGAATGCAAAAATCCTTACCAAAGCACTAGCAAAAATTCCAGACATAGATTAAAAGTGTTATATATAATGACCAAGTGATATTTATTACAGGAATGTAAGATCATTTCAATATATGAAAATGAATTAATGGAACACATCTATTCTACTAATAGAATAATAGATAAAAACCACACAAGAATCTCAAGAAATGAAGAAAAAGCATTTGACAAAATCCAACACATTTCATGACATAAATCCCTAAGCAAAACAGGAATAGAAGAGTACTGGTAAAAGGAATCTATAAAAATAATCTATAGCTAACATATTTACTAGTATGTGTTAAAACTGAAAGCTTTCCTCTCACAAGTAGGAACAAGACCATGATATTTGTTTTCACCAATTCTATTCAACATTATTCTGGAGATTCTAGCCTGAAAATTAGACAAGAAAAAGTGAAAGGCAACCAGAGTTAAAGGAAGAAATTAAAATTCTCTGTATTTTCAGATGATATACGTTTATGTACAGAAAGCCCTCAATAATCCACACACAAATAAGAATTAGGTCCAATAAATGTGTTCCACATATAAGAATCAATTATATTTCTACATTAGCAATGGACAATCAAAGAATAAAACTGAGTAAAATTCCATTTATAGAAGCATAAAATATTAATAAAATATTTAGGAATAAATTTAACAAAAGAAGTGGAAGTTCACGTATACACTTAAAACTGTAAAACATCCTTGAAAGAAATTAGTAAGACCTAAATACATGGAAAGACATCTCATGTTCATGGAGTGGAAGACTTCTTTAGATGGCAATATTCCTCATATTTATCAGGGTTCATTGCACTCTCTGACAAAATCCCAGCTGGCTTTTATACAGAATATGACAAGTTGATCCTAAAATTCATAAGAAAACGTAGGGAACACCGAATAATAAAATAATCTTGAAAGGGAAGAACAAAGTTGGTCCCCTTACACTTCCTGATTTCAAAACTGACTATAAAACTCTAATAACCAAGACTATGGTATGACATAAGGATAGACACATAGATCAGGGAATAGAACTGAGTTCAGAAATAAACCAATACATTTATGACCTATATTTTTTGACAAGTATGCCAAGATAATTCAACAAAGAAAGACCACTCTTTTCCACAAATCAAATTGGAACAATGGGGTAGCCACATGCAAAGGATTAAGTTGGACCCCACCTCTCATCCTATACAAAACTTAATTTGAAATGTATCAAAGACCTAAATGTAAGAGCTAAAATTACAAAATTCTTAGAATAAAATATAGGCATGAATTGTGACCTTAGATAGTCAATAGTTTTTTTTTTAGATATACTACCTAAAGTACAAGCAACCAAAACAACAGGTAAATTTGACTTTGTCAAAATGAAGAAAGTTTGTGCACTATCAAGAGAGTGAAACACAACCCACACAGAATGAGAGAAAATATTTGGAAATCATATAACTGATAAAACTTGGACTCATAAGTCTATAAAGAATTACAATTCAACAATAAAAAGATGAATCACCCAACTTAAAAATGGGCAAAGGATTTGAATAGGTATTTCTCCAAAGAAGATATAGAAATAGTTACAAAGCACAATAAAATGCTCAACATCATTAGTCACGAGAGAAATGAAATTCAAATATGTAATGAGATTCCATTCATACCCACTAGGATCGGTATATTCAAAATGATGGACCATAACAAGTGTTGAGGATATGGAGAAATCGGAATCCTCATACATTTCTGGTGGGAATGCAAAATGGTGCAGCAATTGTGGAAAACAGCTTGGAATTTCCTCAAAAAATTAAACATAAAGTTATCATAATATTCAGGAATTTTACTCCTGGCTATATACCCAAGACAATTAAAAACATACAAAAACTTGTATGTCCATACAAAAACTTGTACACAAGTGTTAACAGCATTATTCATCATAGTAAAAAAGTAAGCCAACCTAAATGTCCATCAGGTACTGAACGAATGAACAAAATGTATCATAGTTGTACAATAGAATATTATTAATTCATAAAAGGGAATGAATTACTGATATATGCTAAAACTTAAAAATACCATGCTAAGTGAAAAAAGCCAGATACAAAAGGTCACATATTGTATGATTCCATTTATATGAAAGGTACAGAACGGGCAAATCCAGAGAGTAAAAAAAACTGGCTGTCTGGGGTTGGGGAAAGGAGAAATGTGGAGTGATTTCTAATGGGTATGGAGTTTCTTTTATGGGTGACAAAATGTTCTAGCATTAGACCATGGTAGTGGTTACACAAACTTGTGAGTATACTAAAATTCCCTAAGTTATAAATACACACACAAAGATGTTAGAATTAGCAGAGAAGGACATTAAACAATTATTAGTCACTCCAGTATGTTCAAAAAGTTAAGTAGACATGGAAGATATAAAAAAAAGCTGAAATCAAATTTCTAAAGATGAAGATTATACTATCTGAGATGAAAAATAGATTGATAGGGAGTAATGGCAAATTAGACATCACAGAAGAAAAGGTTAATGGACATAGAGATATCCATACAGTGAGATATTCAATAACAAAATGAAATGAATTATTGATACGTACAACCTGACTGAACCTCCAAATACTTATGAGGCATTAGACAAAAACAGTACATGGTGTATGCTTCCATTTATATAAAACTCAAGAATGTAAATTAATATGTTAATGGATAATTTCAATGAAAGCAAGATTAGGTTACCTGTGGGATAGGGAAGGGAGAGGAGGAGAGGAGGGAGGAATTACAAAGCAAAACAAGGAAATTTTGGGTAGTGATGGAGATGCTGTTTATTTTAAATATGGTAATGGCCCTATGGGTGTAGCTGTATCCATACATCAAAACTTATCAAGCTGAACACTTTAAATATATGCAGCTTATTATTTGTCAGTTATACCATAATAAAGCTGTTTTGATGCCTATAAGCATAGCTCATAGACACAGACAACAATGGGATGAAGGCTGGGATGGGGTTGAGGGCTGGCTTGAGGAGGAGAAAGGGGAGAAGGGGACATCTATAATAGTGTCAACAATTTTTTTAAAAGCTGTTTTTAAAAAGCAGGCAAGCCGGACTGGTTTGGCTCAGTGGATAGAGCGTCGGCCTGCGGACTCAAGGGTCCAGGGTTCGATTCCGGTCAAGGGCATGTACCTTGGTTACAGGCACATCCCCGGTAGGGGGTGTGCAGGAGGCAGCTGATCGATGTTTCTAACTCTCTATCCCTCTCCCTTCCTCTCTGTAAAAAATCAATAAAATATGTTAGAAAATTATCTGAAAGTTCTTCTAAGAAGCAAATCATTTCTCCTAAAAATGCTAGTAAAAAACACTCTTGTAAGAGTTCAACCAAAGGACTTAAATGCATGCATATAAGCATAACCCATGGACACAGACAGTAGGGGGGTAGGGCCTGTGCTGGGGGATGGGAACAGCTGGGGAGAGGAGAATGGGGTGAAAGGAGACATATGTTATACTTTAAACAATAAAGAATTTAAATTTTAAAAAAAAAAAGAAAGGAAAAACAAGGAAGAAAGAAAGAAAAGAAAGAAAGGAAGGAAAAGAAAAGAAGAGAAGAGAAGAGATGAGACAAGAAAAGAAAAGAAAAGAAAAGAAAAGAAAAGAAAAGAAAAGAAAAGAAAAGAAAAGAAAAAAAGGAAAGGAAAGGAAAGGAAAGGGAAAGGGAAAGAAGGAAAGAAAGGAAGAAAGAAAGGCAACTCTACAGGGCAAGTTCCTAGTAGTTGATTTCAAGTAGGCACTAATTGACACTGGAACTGCACTATGTTTACTATCCATATTTCTCTTATTCTATTTGCATCATCCAACTGTAGGTGGCTTTATTCTTTAGATTAATACGGATACTGTTATCTGCCCCCATATTTCAATTTAGACTCAGTTTCAATTGCGTCAAATGTTAGACTCAGGTGTTTTTACCAGGAACAAAATTCTTTGGCTTACCTGAGATGAGTCTCCTGTTACCACAATGTACTTGCAGGGAAGGTTCTTGCACTTTTTGATGGAAAGAGGTCTGGTTGAAGGGTCACAGAAACTTTCATTCACTTGAATGTTTTGTGCGTCAATGCACTGCACTTGCCGATGCGTCTCCTTCATTTTACATGATGTTAAACACTAGAAATACAAGGACGAAATGAGTAACATGCCTGTATGCAGTGTCTTTAAAACCTGACTGGTCAATACTCACATCCGACCACTCTCCTGCCACCCACTGGGACTGTATGCAGTCCTGGCGCCAGCACTGCCTCTGCGAATGAGGCCGTGTGGACCGGTCACACATTTCTTCGGCCACCGGACCAACGCCTCTCAGTCGGCAGTACACATCCCTTTGCTCAACTCCAAGGCCACAGGTCACAGAGCACTACAAAGAAGCCCAAACGACTTGAACAACTTACTGACAAACATTAAACTATGTAAAAAAAAAAAAAAAGCAAAATGGTGTCATGACATATTTTCTTGTTTCATTTAAACACAGCTTGATGTTATATCATGTATTAGACAGAAAATACATGCAGTAAGTATGTTCAAGACTGTCTGGTGTGAAACATCTATATAAATAGGCAAATACTAGTAGATTTTATTTTGCAATATCTATTCAAGTCTTCTGGAAACAGCGACATGTTCTACAGGACACTCCAGCCCAACTAATCACACTCTCTTCTGACTTAAATGTACTTAATATCTATAAAAATCACACAAAACAATCTACATTGTTTTTTTCACATCACATAATTCCTTATACTGTCTGCATCTACATAACCTCCCCGAAAGAAAATTATCATTTTCAATATTGTATTATATTCATCTTTACAGCTGCAGTACCTTCTCCACTTTGGGGACCCAATAATTTGCTAATTGGGTGGTTCATGATTATACGGTATTTCAATGGACAGGATTTGAGAACCTGGCTGCATAAACATAAACTGAGACAAACTTGTCATTACCACTCCTGGCCTTATTTTCCTTATCTCTACAATGAAGATTTTGTATTATTTGTAAAATTTCATAGAACACTTATTCCTGGCAGTAGCTCTACGATGGAGGTACACGGGCTGAGGACTGTAGGCACAGAGGTGTCAAGCCACTTGCCTGAGTTGCCGCCTCTGGTTATCGATGAAGCAGATGCAAGCTCAGTTCTTTCCCAGACTTTGAGCTCTCACTGGGCTGCCCCCAGGGGATAGGGACAGACCTGGTAATATCTCAGGGCTCTTTCAGCTCTAGGATGCCAGTTTATATAACAACAGAGCTGGACCACAGCCACATTGGGATGCCAGCATTAATAAAGTATGGAGAATATCCAGTGATATTTAATTTGTGAGTTTGGATTTTTTTATAGCTACTCCTTGTTATTCCAGAAGGGACTGAAAGTCACACTGAGTGATAAATTGGGGGACTGAGTAATTATAAGGGTAAAAAAACAACAGGTTCTTCATTAAATTCTCTATATCTGTAGGGGTTCCAGAGTAAGTAAATTTTCCCACAACAGTAAATATATATCTGCAGTATATTGTTTGACCATGAATGAACATTAAAATCCCACAAAAGCGAAGGATTTAGCTCACCTGGTAGACTCAAATGCCTCTCACAAACTGAGCAGCATTTTTATTCTAAAGGCTCTTTATAATTGTTTTCTATCTTGTGTGTGTAAGCAGAAACAGACTTGAGAGATAATTTGTAATTTTTAACCTATGGAGAATACTTTCATTTTATGCTTAGGCAGGTGAATTGTGCCAACTCATTGAATCTTTTCACAAAGAACATACATCTCCTTTCTATGGAGGCAATAGTAACGTAATGTGTGCTTTGTGCGGGGCACCATATCAAGTAGACTGAAATATCTGTATGTAGGTTAGCTTATCTGAACCTCTTGCGAAAATGATTAGTCTACAAAATAAGACTCCTGCAAACATTTTCCAGAGATAATTTCAGAAATGGAAATTACATTTGGAAAACTTCCTGCCTCTAAACCTGAAAAAAACAAAAACCTGGAAAAAATAATTCACAAAACACAGCTTAGCAATAAGTCCTATCAGGCAATATAATTTTCTATAATTCAACAAACCACAATGATTTATTGCCCTTCTATCACAGCATTCATTTAGAAAACCCCCCTGGAGACCATGGGTAACTGCTATTGGTGGTCCACTTCCCTGAAAGGAAACAAAATGGACTACTGCTTGGAATAAACAAATAACATTTGTTTTTCAGGGTGTTTTTTTTTTTGTTTGTTTTTTGGAAATAAGAGTATAAAAGAGTGAAATGATGCAATTTTAGATTTGAACAGATAACTTACGGCTTACATGAAATACTGCTTAGCCTGATCACATCAGTAACTCTAATTGCCAAGCCCAATAAGAACTTTTCAAACCTTTTCTTACTCTCCCTGACATTTTCAGTGCCACTGACCACTTTCTGCAGAGCCATGAGCCAAGTTGGCTTCTGGGATTAAAATCCCTCTGGTCCCAGAGCTCTCTCTCCTCTTCTGAGATTGCACCTTCTCAAAGTTCTTAACTGACTGTTTTCTCTGTTCAACCCTGAAACATCAGCATATTTCAAGATTCTGTTCATAACTCGCCTCTATACAAGCTGAGCTCACTCTGAGCAATTTCTTCTATGCACCAGTAATTTCTAAGGCTGTTCTCTTCCACCCTGATCATAATACTGGGCTTTACATTTATATGTTCACTGGAGGCCCGATGCACGAAATTTGTGCAAGGGGCTCGGCAGCGGCTTGCCTCAGCCCTCGCAGCCGTGACTTCATCCAGAAGGTCGTCTGGAAGGATATCCATAAGGTCGTTCGGCTGTATGGTCTAATTAGCATATTTCTCTTTTGTTATTATAGATACGTTTACAAAAAGTTTTTATGTATTTACCAGAATTTTCATGTATTTTCTATATGGATATGTAAAAGGCACCTCAAATTCAACATTTCCAAAACACAACTTCCTGCCTTGCCCAGCCCATTTCCCCTGCAGTCATGCTGGGAAGATATGATCACCCACTCTTAAGTCACTTACTAGAAGAACCTCCCAAGGTACATCTCTAACCCCAAAATATGCACCCTTACTCAGTAGCTTTGTAAAACTTTATAAGCATTTTAAATTTTCTTTTTTTTAAATTTAGGCAACACATATGAAGCCAGTGTGAGGCTATTGTTACAAGTATAACACAAATAATTAATGGGAATGCACTAACTCACCAACACTATATAATTAAATTCAGACAGGAAAAATCAGCCAACTATCCTATTTATACACAAATATACTGTAACATTGCAAATTCTAGCACTTTAAATACTTGACAGTGGAGTGGAGAAGGTGAATTTTATCCCATCCACAGGTGCAGAGCAGAGGTAAAAAGATGTTAGAACATGCATTGCAAAAACAGGCTCATTGTGGCTGACTCACTCTGTTTAATAAAGTTACTTAAAAATGTAAATATTTGCTCTTGATACATTATTATTTCTTATTAATGTAATAAGATTTTGGTTTATTATAGTTGGTTATTTGTAACTATGGCTTATTTTAAATGGATCAATAATGTAGCAGTAGTAGAGCATTTTGAGTTAGAAAAGACTCTAGGAATATCTAATCCCAATTTCCCTTCAATTCTGAAATCCCTTTTATACTTATAGTGAATAAATGACCATCAAAACCACACATAATTCTATAGCCTCAGCCTGGGTATGTTCAAAATATCATGAATGCTGTTAATCGATTTTTTGATAATTCTAATGTTAGCAAATACTTATATGGAGCTGAAATAGTCTTTGAATTTTTACCCACTTCTGGACTCTTTCCTCCTCACCAAAAGAACAAATGCAGACTTTTAATATAAATAAGCATGCAATGAAGTCAGCACAGAAATAAAATTTCTGTTGAATGCGGTAACAGTCTGCACTTGTTGACTTCAGGTGCCCTTGTGAGAGGGGCAATATGTTGCCAAGGAAATAAAGAATAACTTGCCCTAACCAGTTTGGCTCAGTGGATAGAGCGTCAGCCTTTCACCAAAAGAACAAATGCAGACTTTTAATATAAATAAGCATGCAATGAAGTCAGCACAGAAATAAAATTTCTGTTGAATGCGGTAACAGTCTGCACTTGTTGACTTCAGGTGCCCTTGTGAGAGGGGCAATATGTTGCCAAGGAAATAAAGAATAACTTGCCCTAACCAGTTTGGCTCAGTGGATAGAGCGTCAGCCTTTAGACTCAAGGGTCCCAGGTTTGATTCCGGACAAGGGCATGTACCTTGGTTGCAGGCACATCCCCAGTAGGGGGTGTGCAGAAGGCAGCTGATCGATGTTTCTAACTCTCTATCCCTCTCCTTTTCTCTCTGTAAAAAATCAATAAAATGTATTTTAAAAAAATAAGAGATTAAGTATTTTAAAAAAAAGAATTAAAGAAATCCAAGTATAGTTTTTAAAAGGAATCCTAATTTATTTTTAAAATTGGTTCAAATAGAACTGTGTTTAAATGCCGCCCCCCACCCCCTGTATTTCCTGGCTAGTGACCTGCACAATCTAGTTAACCTCTTAAGCTGTATTTTCCTCATCTGCATAATGAATGCAATGATACCTAGGTTATGAGAAACACAGAAGTCTCTCACACAATGTAAGGAAATGATTGTCCCTTTCTGCTCCATTCTTAGTCCCATTTTTTTCCTCTTTCTTATTTCTGCCTTGTACAGTTTCTTGAGACATGCCTCAAGCTAAACAGTGTTAGTCATCTCAGCCCAGTCAAAGAAAGGCCATCTTAAGTTTCAATCAAGATGATAAGTTACAGGCAGTGTAGAAATGCAAAAACAGAATTGTTGGCACTAGCTAGAAATGACGGAGCGGAGTGGTATGGTTCATTCACCCAGCGCCTGAGCAAACGCACATCCTCCCCATCCTCCACTGCTGCCTGTCTTCACTGGTAACAACACTAAACCCAGTTGTAGAGATGAAAGGTTCTAAGCTCTTGGTCAGGGGATATAGGGCCTTAAGTAATATTTATTATCTTTTTAGACTATAAGATACATAATATGTATACATCAGAAAATTTTGAAATGTAGGAATTTATATATGTTGGAAATATAGAAAATATGAAATTACAGAAATACAAAATCACTTACACATGCTAGCATTTAGCATATAGGTTATTTTTGTGTTTTTCTTTTTTTTCAAATGAGGGGCTTTGGGAAAGAAGGGCACCAGCCAGTAGATTTGTGAGATTTTGGTTTCAGCTCTGATCTTAAAATACGAGAAAGACAATGGTGGGTCTCAGAAGGGGACCCAGGTAAGTGTTTGATGTCATGTGACTATAGATTCAGTAGGGTATTTGTTAGGTCGTAAGTGAGATGTTTTCATGTATCTTTATAGATTTCCAGCAGGTTTGCCATAATCAAGGGAAGGTAAGAATTCTGGATTTTTTTTTACATAAAAAAATTACATTGGATGGAAAAAAAAACCAACCTCATAGACAGACAAAAGTATGGTGATTACCAGAGGAAAATGGGGGTGAGGGGAGGTAGGAGGGGTATAATGGTGATGGGAAGAAACATAACTTGGGGTGGTGAACACAATGCAAAGTACACCATACTGTAAACCTGAAACCTATATAATTTGATTAACCAATGTCACCCTAGTCAATTCAATTAAAAAGATTACATTAGATGGCACTGAACTAAGTAGATGAAGCATGAGATAATGAAGAATCTAGCACCATTTTAGCCTTAAACACTTGAATTTACAAGCGAAACTGGTATTCCCAAATAGGTAAAATTAAGTGGGGGAAAATCTTTTTGGTTCTAGAAAGTGGGGGAAGGGTAATATGTTGTGTGTGTTGTTTTCTTTAAGAATTGTAGTATTTAATTTGCCTCTAAAGGTATACATCTGGACCCAGAGGACAAATGGCCCTGTGTAGCAATGTTTGTTCCTGTTTAGCAGCAGTCATTAAAGTGCATTACTAAATCCTTTCATTAAAAAAATGATATCAAGCCCTGAATGAAGGTGTTACATCAAAACTCATTTGAGCACATGTCTGGTCACCATTTGCCAAATGAGTCTCTCCATTTGAGGTATAATGTAAAATAGTAATAAAATAAGATTACTTTATAGTGAGCGATTGTATTAAAGCTCTGTTACAATTTATGCAGTCAGAACCAAGTAGCAACCAGTGATTATCTCCTAACTACCTCTGAAATTACACTTCTGTTGGACATTATTATATGCAGTGCAATGACAGCCTGCAATTGTTAATGAACTTCATATGGGCGCTTTTTATAGCATAAATCAAAAGCCAGCGGCTTCACAAGTGGTCATTTGTTTCTGGGAGAGATGTGGGGACTGTGTGGGAGTCTGAAGCTAATTTCTGTGGCGAGGAAAACCAACTCAAAAAGAAGAAAGCGGGGTCTGTACAAAGACCATCCGTGTTCTATGGCTCTGAATATTCCTAGCTGTATCTTAGAAACCCCTCAAATACGTTTCTTTAGGGAATCCTACAGAACGTCATACTTGATGTAGGCCAAGGCCAATATGTTAGAACTGACAATCAATTCACTGTTGCGGGGTTGGAGGTCAAGAGTCAGAAAGGGTCCCTCCTGAGAATGCTGGTGAGGAAGAAGCAGCAAAAAGTCTCTCTCACTTCCGCTCCCATCTCCCAGCAGCTCCTGCCTGATGTCCGAATTGGGAGGTATCTGCCCCAAGCTGGGTTCAGTGCCTTTACTCTGTTCCACCCTCTGTGGGAGCTACTTTGCCATTATTCTGCCACATCATGGTCCAAATAAAGCAAGGCAAACCCCCACTTTAAGCAAAATCAAAATATGACAAATATAACTAATACATTATGAGGTGGCAAGTCCTTTTTGCAACTAAATTGCGGTAGTCAAAGCCAGAAGTATTAAACTAGATACTCAGCAAAGTGCCTTGTGAACAAGGTATCCATTGGTGTCCAGGGTTCAGTGGCCGCCCTAGGGTAATGTGGAAGAAGTAAGCATGGGTTAGGTTTTAGATTCTCCCTCTGAAGATAAGGGTTAGTCATCGACGATACCAAGTGACATGGTCACATCCGAGTTCCAAAGCTCACACTATATGCAAGTAAATCATGACCAAGATATATGCAAGGAGGACATTTTACATTTGGGATCAGGTGAGGATGAACTAGAAAGGGGTGGTCACAAGGAAGATACAAGAGTTGCCTGGATAGAATTGAGAGAACCCGTTGAGTGACTAGCTGTGGGGTCAAGGAAAAGGAGGCAGATGGTGTGGTATTTCTTTCTTAAATGACCTAGTAGGTAGTAGTGGCATTCACTAAATATAACAGGCTAGCAGAAGATCTTTTAAATCATGACCTCTGCTAAACCATTAAGAATGGTGTTATTTCCTTTACTAAAGTTACATGTAGAAGCAAATGCTTGAGGATGTATGTATGCTCTGGGGGATTAAAAAACAGAGGTGCGTCTGCCCATACTTTTCAGTCAACCGTTAACCTCACTTCTCAGTGACTGAGGCTGCCTCTCCTTCAAAGGAACCTGAGATGCTCACTGTTTTAGGGGCTTTTTTATTCAGTGACAACACTGACACCGCGGCACTCAAAGCCCGGCGCCCTGCACCAAGGCTCTGAACCCACAGAGTATATGATGACTTAGAAGTCCAGGGGAACCCCTACTTTTCTAATAAACATAGTTCCTACATCAGACAGAGACAAGGAAGCTCCATCAGCAGAAAATTGGTTTCTTTTTCCTGTAGCAGGACTAGGCCCTTTAAGGAATGGGTAGGCACCCTAAGGTTCCCCTGAGAGCAGCCAGAGGCTGAGGTGGAAGCCCAAACTCATTGGAATCAGGCCTCGGACAGTTGTTCTAGTTAAAGTTTCTGACTTCATTCATGGCCTTGGCTATTACCTTTCCCAAGTTGGTCTTTACTTGACAACCATGCTGAAAGGTCTGCCTCCCCCAATTTAGATTGTTGAGCTTACTTCCTGAGTTTGCCAGGGCAGGTATCGATCATCCTTATTTTATAAACTGAGTTCTCAGCCTGGATGCCACCTACGTACCAGCTTCCTTTTTGCTGAGGTTTTTCCAAGTGTGTGTGCATTCTAGTCTTAGTTAGGGCTGGGCACCCAGTTCTGTCACTTAACTTTCACCCTCCAGTTAAAATTCCTTCTGGAACTTAACAGTCCCGTTTCCAAGATTCAACATTAACTCAAACCCAAGACTTTGGTGTGGAAACAAGGCAGTTACTAAATACCTCATCCTATGTATTTACTGTTAAGATACCTGGAACAATATTACGATCCTCAGTAACCCCCCTAGTATTCAATAATAGAATTTCTTATAAAGTTTACTGCCATACAAAAATTAAATGACTCATTTGTTATTTAACTAGCGACTTAGCAAATGTGGTTAACACTGTACAGCATTAATTCAGAGATTAGTACAAAAATGTATAACAGAAAAAAAGCACATTTTGGTGAAGTAAAACTTTCAAGGTTATTGAAAGCTTATGGGATAAATTAAGATATTCCCTTTAAATGCAAAGATATTCTCTTTAAATTTGTATAATTATAAAAATACACCACATACCTCCTTCCATCTTTTGGCTTTCCACGAAGGGCACCTGCCAGATCTACAAGCTTTGTGAGTTCGAGGTTTCCGGAGATGACTGCAGTATTTTTCTTCTAATTTCCCTTGAACTTGGTCAACACAAAGCACCTCACGGTACTTTAAACCTTTACCACAAGAAGCTGAACACTAGAAGACAAATACGAATGTGCTTGATTCATTTTATCTTAATTTAAATTTATCTGCAAGAAGTATATAACATAAAGCAATCAAAACCTCATTGCTTTGGTATTTCTAATTAGACAGAATTTAAAGTTGCCAGTCCACCCTGGGTTAACGTTGATATCATAAATTATCCCTTTATCCTATTAAAAATATTATCTACAATATACCAAGCACTTTTCTGGCATATAAATGCTTTTAGGTCTTTTAAGATTTAAGACTATCTGAGGTTAACTCCTGATATCACACATAAGCCAACAAAACTTGCTCTCAGTTTTGTATAGTCACCAGCTCTTCTATTTTTAACCCCATATGCTTTTTCACGCTGCAAAGTATGTTTGGGATGTTTAAAATAATGCAGTGATCTCTTGACGCAGAAAACTGTAGTTGAGAAAGCTGAAAATGTGTTTTTAAAATGCAATTTGGTTCTGGCTTGGTTTTTGCATCAATCTGGAAGATGTGTCTCTTTACCATCAGCCTTCCAATATATTTATTACAAAACAAAATGACTAAAATCTCTGTAAAGACATAGATAAACAATGATTTGAATTTGTTTCAGCCAGTTGCCATTTCATGAGTGAGGCCAGGGCGATGCAGTGGAGAGAGGCTGGGCTCCGCATTGAAAACCAGCTTTGCCACTTACTAGTGGGGTAACTTGAGGCACATTTTATCACCTGTGCAAGCCTTGGTTTCTTCACTTATAAGATGGGGATAACACCACCAATATTACAGGTTTATTATGAAGATTAACATGCGATGTGAAATAGATAATATGAAATGTCTAACTTAGACCCATCACCCGTGGTGCAGGAAATATCAGCTTCCTCTTCTATTGTTTTCCTTCACATAGTCTCAGAGAGGACACTTACATGTGCGAGCATGATATATGCACCAGGGAAACGTTAAGCAAAGAAGATGCAAATTCCAGACAAGTCCTCTCATAACTCTGAGACAGCTGCTCACATATGGGTTTCATTTAGAAACATATCCCAAGTTCTGAGGACCTTCGATAATATATTATACATTCCATGTATATTCTGAGTTCAAAGACGGTTAGACTAATACAGATTATTCAATGCTTAAACTATTGTAACTTAAAAATAGTTGGGGAATAATTTACCTTTTATATTACCTGCAATACTAAATCTCATTTGTGTAGCCAAGTAATTTAAATTGCTTTCTTGAGTATTGACTTATTGTTATCATATCTGAGATGTTCTCTTCTCTTCCCATTAACACATGCAGCCTTTACATTCCACTAACACACTTAATTTGTGAACAATATCTACAGGTCTCCTAAACTGTACTAAGTGTACATTCTTTCCTGAGATTGACTGTCTTTTACAAGACCTATCTATATGCTCTACTCATTTTGGCCACTTATCTTGAGCATTTCCCTGCCTGTTTCTTTAGCTCACTGTTTATTTTTCAAAGAATATAACATATTTTATACCCAAAACATCATATATCATCAAGTATTAAGCATATACTATCAGGGAGTATACATGCATATTCACACAGAGAAGAGATTTTTTTTCCTAAGGTGTGTTGTTATTTTTTCTAACTTTAAAATTGTAACCATTTGAACAAAAGAAAATTCATTACTCTCCATGTTAGCCCATCTTTAAAAAGTAGTAATTATTGTGAATATTAATTATGGCAACACAGTAGTACTTTTGAAAAATAAAGAAATATTATTTTATTCATTATAAATCTCACTTTCTACAATATACCAAGAATTGCAGATTCATTAAATACCATCTCTTGCTTTTGCCCTCAATTTACCCTCAAAGTACTCATAATCTAAATGGCACATACACCTATTAAGTTAATAATGGTAGGGTATATCTTAAATATTAAACCAAATAAAGTTCAGAGAAAAAACACAAGACACTAAAGACCATTAAAATTATATAATAAAAAATATAATAGATTTAAGAAATTCATGGAAACTGGTCATTTCTCTCTGGGTTATTTCATAAGTACTAAAGGAGAAAGTAATATTTAAACTCAGTCTTGAAGAAGTATGTTTGTGGATGAACAAAGATGGATAGTTTTATATATTTCGATATGCCTTATCCAAATACTGCTCCTGTGTCTCTGTTTTGCAAAATTCTGAGTTCTTTTAACACTTCCAAGAATCCAAGAATCACTCAGTAAGTGTACAGTAAACTGCTTATAAGAATAATCAATTCACTTACAAAACTATGTAACTTAAGAGGAGACATTAAAGATTTTTCTCTATAGGCAGCATCTGTGAGTGGCCTGTAAACTTGGATACTGCAATACCCTATCAAAATTAAGATTATTCTCCACAAAACTACATATTCTAACTTGAGGCCATCTTTAATTCTTTCTCTTCTTCATCCCTCAAGAACTGACAAAGGCTCTTTATTGTCTTTAATAGTAAAACCCAAAACTTAGTATACTTCCTTGCTTTCTTCATCCGCCAAATTTCAGTTAACACACCTTTCCAACCTTACTTTTCTATCATGCAACCTTTGCTCTACTCAGGGATGATATAATCACTTCTCTTTAATGTGACATAGTCACTCAATAGCAGTACCTTATTCAGATACTTCATTTTTACCTTGACTAATCACTTCCCAGCTTTCTAAATCTTAACCTTAAATCTCTGAGTCAACCCCATTTCTAGTGTAAACACATATCAGTCTTCCAGTTCTCTGAACTCTTCTGTCTGAGGCTCACTCTGTTTTTATCACTTCATTTTCCATTTTTGCCACATGCTTCATCTACCCAGCCTTCTGTGGGTCAAGAAACTTTTAGATCACCCACAAAATGTCAAGTGCAATAAATATCAGCTGATTAACTGAGGCCAATCCTTGGTATAAACAATTCTTATTTGTTTTTCGTAAACTATAAAATAACTTATTAAAACATTTTAAATTCCATGAAAAATATTTATTGGTTAATAAACTCAAGTTCCTCTAGAGGAGAGACAAAAAAATAGAAAATTAAAGTATTGCAACATAGATTATATCTTTGTTTTGCTTTTAAAGCAAAGCTCGCTTTCTCCAATATTTGAAGAAAAATAACTACGTTATCATATCTGATTAAATCCATGAAGGGATTTAAGTAAAAAAAGAACATGTTATTTCAAGGATGATGTATTAGTTGGAATGAGGCAATATTAGTGTAAATAAATAGGGACATGCTACCCTCCCTCTCTCAAACCACAGTACATTCTGAGTTGTAAAGATTCCACAAAAATACCCCATTTAGTAGGAATACCCAACATGCTAGTTCTTTTTTCTTGTACCCCAACAATCTTTTATTTTTTATACCTCAGAAACCATCCTAGTCCCTTAAAGTTTTACTAATGCTGTATAATTCATTCAAAGTATTCTTATGCAAAGATTTTTTTTTCTTAAAGATCACCTCTATCATTCTTAGTTGACATAATCTTAAATTCTCAGATTTTTTCATAACTACTATGGAATAGTAGATATGCTCTTCAGAAGTGGCAACATTAAATGCAAGCAACTTACATTAACCATTCCTATAAAATAGGTGAAGACAAATGTCTACTTACGGAAAACAGGACATTGGAAATAAATATAGAATTTGTAAGCCCTCAGATTGTAATGGATTCTGCAGTTATGCAGGTTGCCTGGCACTTTCAACATCAAGGTGAGAATTGAAATCAGTCAATCCACTTTGAATATGATTAACTTTGGGACAACTCTATTCTTATTTTAAAGTTTAGTTGTATATTACAGAATAAGATTACTTTTGATATTTGAAATGTGAATTATTGCTTCATTTGTTTACATGTAAGAATACTACAACCTGACTGGTATGTCTCAGTGGTTGAGTGTCAACCCTTGCACCAAGAGGTCACGGGTTCAATTCCTGGTTCAACGCCCGGGTTGTGGGTTCAATCCCCAGTGGTAGTCATGCAGGAGGCAACCAATTTATGTTTTCTCTCATCGGTGTTTCTCTCCCTCCCTTTCTCTCTAAAATCAATAAAACCATTTTTTAAGGGAAAGGGAATTTAAAAAAAAACACTACAGAAGAGTGAATGAATTGATTTAATTTGTGAGATGCTTGATTAACTCTGGAACCTTAAATTGCTAAACAAAATAAGGAAATGAAATTTATCTTCAGGTCTAGAAAATGGAAAACCTTTTGTGTGTGTGTGTGTGTGTGTGTGTGTGTGTGTGTGCATTTTATCATAAACTATTATGTTTATCTCATTTACCACCC